CCCCATTTTGTCTCTCATAGTTGAGGTATACCTATGATGAAAATTACAGGCCTCTCTCATCTTTTTAAGTGGGAGAACTTGCACAATTGGTGGCTGACTAAATACTTTTTTGCCTCACTGTAGCTAAAGAATGAAAAAACAAAACAAAACCCATTTCTCTTTACTGGGCATCACTGCTTTTGATCATTTGGGGACATATGAATCTCCAGAAGCGCATTTAGTGCATTTATGTAGGAATGTCCAATAGCAGCTCCATTTGGGTCCAAAATTTGCATCATGATATATTCAGTTTTTCTCACACATTACATAGGATCCATGACTTAGTTCAGATTTCAGTCAACTGGACATATACTTGCAGAGGACATTTTTAGCCCCTGAACATGTGATCCTTAGAAGCTCTGTTCCTTTTATATCATTAAAGGGAGATAGAAAAAGAAATCAAGCTGGGATCATGGGAGCTGAAGTCCAACACAGCTTGGGAAATCCTGGTACAGAACATGTTTCACTTTTCAGTAAAACATTAACAACATATATGGAACATTTGACTTACTGTGATGGTCTTTTTCTACAATGGATGGAGGTTATCCATAATTGCTTCTCCCATTCACTCCAGCAGACAGGAACAAATATTCCTTGATGCCCCTATATGGGGAGAGAGCAACCTCCAAACCAACTGATGGAATTAACAAGCAACATGAGAATTCCAAGATTAGTAAGAAGACAGAAAAAAAGCCCGGCTGTTCACAAGGAACTGGACACGGGAGAGTTGAATACCCTCTGTCCACTATAGAAAAAAAACTATAATGAGAGTCCAATGTTTCTTTTTCCTAAGGAGAGGAGGATATCCACAGCTGGGATCTACCAAAGCATTTCCAAAAGTTGCAGGGGCAATCTGTTTGCTGAATGTTATATATGTGGAACCAGTTCTGCCAAAGGAGGCATCAGCCAAGGCTTGCACATTCAAACTGTAATGCTACACAAAGGAAGAAATGAATGACCATGCAGCTGCCTTACTAATGTCTAACAGGACAGCATTAGTGACAAGGGCTACAGAACTGGCTGCAATCTTAGTAGAACAAGTTGTGACCCTGGCCAACACAGCAGCAGAGCAAGCCTTAACAGAAAGAGCTATGCAGACCAAGATTCACCTGCAAAGAGTTGCAGAAAATTACTCTGTGCCACAGTGGCTGTTGAAATGAAACAATCTGAAACCCAAAGATAAACCTTGACAGTTTGATGAAATCTAGCTTATGCTAGTCCTTTTTAACCTAGACAGAAGAAAAGGTTGGGAGGCACAGCTCCTATGTATGCTGAAAAACGGGACTGACCTTAGGCATAAATGATGGAACAGTTCAGGGCACATACATATGTGGCACTGCAAGTTCAGAAATATGACAGGTTGAAATAACAGCAATTAATGACTCTGAACAGTGACAGAAAAAGTGGGAAGGCAAAAAGCAGACCTGGAAGCCATCCAAAACTTATCATGTCTGCCACTGCTGCTGCCCGTGTGGAGAATCAGAAGAAATAATTCAGTTTCCCGTTGGAGACATGAGGAGATCCACTGAGGTTTCCCCAAATAGTGATTCTATTGAAGATCTACTGTTTGACATTCTTCTCCAAGATCAATTGGACAATCAAATCAATCAGCCATCAATGGAAGACACTTTGGATGCACTCCACCAAGATAGAAATCAGATGCAAACACTGACATCATAATTTGGAGACCTCATTCCTCACAGAGTGAAACTTGCTACTTCCTTCATTCAGGTCAGATATGCACCCAGGCCATGGTGTTTTCCATCAGGATCATGTTGTTGAAACAACAAAGAAGAGGACTGAAGCTAAGCAAAGCCAGATGAATTGCCTTGAACTCCAGGAAGTTGGTAAGGAAGGAGCAACAGCCCTGAGCTTTGCAGCTCAAATAATGCCACCGACAGCTGATCTAAGTGGTGACTACTGCTGGAGGAGAGCATGACCAGAAAGTCTTTCCCTGTTGAAATACTGGAGACATCCACCAGCAGCACCTTCTTAGGTGAAGTCAGAGAGGCAGTGATTCCATGACCTCACAACTATTTCCTTCAGAAATGGCAGAAGTTCCAAGAGGAATATACAAGACTGATCCTGCACCTATGCATGAAACCATGAGTTCCTAGAGGCGAGCTAGAGTTAGAACATGCAAGAGCAATCTGGCAAGGTTCTGCAATTATCTCTCCCATTTTTTGGAACGCAGGCTATAGTTAAATGTTGAACACTGTACCAAAGTGCAGAATGAGTAGGAAAAAGCTGTGTCTTTCATGGCCCCAGAGTAGTCAGACATAAAGTCATTGTCTGCACTCTGCAGATGCAGAAACAGACCTCATAAGAAAACCATCTAGGTAGAGGTAAACATGAATTTCCCAATTCCACAGAAACATCACTAATGCAAACAGTGAATATTCTAGGAACTAACATCAAGCTGAAGGAGAAAATATTGTATTGAAAACAGTTCTCCAAACATTTTAACCGGAGGAACTGGTGGTGAAAGGGGTGAATCAAAATATGCAGATAGGCCTCCTGAAGATCCAGGGAGGCCAGAATGTTTCAGCTTAAGAGACACTCCATGATGGAATCTAATGACTCCATACAACGTCTGCATTATTCTATGTGCTGATTCACCCACTTCAAATCTAGTATGGCTCTCCTCATCTCTTCTTCCTGGGAACCACCAATTATATAGTAGCACCTGAGGATCTTTCAGCAGGTGGAAATGGTTCAATGGCCTTGATGGCCAGGAAAGGATCTATCGCCCACAGTGACAGTCCTCCTGATTTCAGAACCTGAGGAAAGAAATGAAAAAATCACACAGAATATCTTTGCTGCATGTGCAAAGCACTCAAGAGTCTGATGTTCAGTGAACCAATGATGCCTGTCTTTTACTGGTAAATTCTTGTTATCACTGCTATTTGTGATCCCCTTTGCAAAGATGTGAACAGCAGATCCTCTGAAATGAAAATGGGAAGGTTGTTTCAGCTATATGAGAGTCCAGACTCCAAACTGATCCAAGAAGGGACAAAAAGAATGAGTCTGTCTCTGGGACTTTCACTAATGTCTCACCTAGATGAGACCAGAGAGCCATCATTTTTTCCTTAGGTTCCACCAGGACTTCATCTAAGGAATCCTCCAATGACCTGCAACCTTTAAAGCTCCTAGGGGTAAGAACAGTATCTACATTCTTCTTAGTATCTACATTCCAATATGTTAACTTGCAAATGACCACATCTCATGGCATGGTCTTGGTTGAGAATTATAGTATGTTGAGGCTGAAATCTGCTATGAAGGCAGCTTTACTGCCCAGGTAACTAACCCCCTGGCATATTGCAACTAAATCCAAAGAAGGTAGCAGAAACTGCTTAGGCTAAAGAACAGAGGCCATAGCAATTGAGAGATAGCACTGGCTGTCTTTATGTCAAGACATCTGATCACATTTAAGAAGAACATTGTTGCATATTCTATTAGGATAATGGAAGTTTTATCCAGCATCATGCCTGAAACCAATGGGTCACTGGAGCAACTACTAAAGGAACCTTTAAAGATTCCATGCAGAAAGAGAGAAAGATAGGGGTATCTGGCCACTATCGGTCACCAATTTTGAGTGAAAGCTCATTTGGTTTTCATGACCAGATTGGCCAGTTACTGGGAGGCGGTTAGAAATTAGCCTCTTACTGACTTTCTTAGTCAAAAGTGAGAAATCCATGTGAGAAAAAAGGCTCTGAAAAGGCTCTAATTTTCTTGTCCTCTTCAGCCTCCCTATCAAAGGGAAAGAACGGAACTGATTCACTTGAGGCAGCAAGACATTCTACCATCTCCTCTCACTCTTCTGGGTGAGGCCCAGTTTGCAGTTTTTCCCAGGTGCCTTGGATTAAGCAAAGAGGGAGAAGACCCTGAGGAAGACTGGGACTACTTGTGACACAACTGCTGCTTAAGGCAGCAGCTCCTGCACACCAGGTTACCCATAGGAAATGGAGGCAGCTGAGCAAGATGAAGTTCCTGATTTCTCTTCCAATCATCAGGGATACAACTATGAGGTAAACTTTCTCAGGGGAGTGTGACTTGAACTTCAGAATCCAGGGAGTGGACAGAATGAGAGGCGCAAAGAATTCTATGATGATTACGTGCCTAAAATCCAACTTCACATTCCAGGTGGAGGGAGGACCCCCCCCCCAATCATCCATAGTGGGGAATCAGCGGTCTTCACCCCAGGTTCCATCCACTATAGTCCTCGGGAGGAGTGAGAGCATACCTCATGCCCTGAAAAAAATTGTGCACCTATATCAGTTGACACAGGTGCTCCCATGGATGTTAGTTGCAAATGGAGCGCGTGGTCAACCCTCCTGCAAAAATAGCCAGGCATAGGGCAGAGCCCTGAGGTAAGTGATCTTAGCTCTTGAGTAGGACACCTGAATAATCCAGCAAGAGCTCCTTGAGAAGTGGAGAAGGAAGGACCAGAAAACCAGCCTGGAGGTTGCTCTCTCCCCCTATAGGGAGAGCAAGAAATTCACAGTACTGCCTGTTGAAAGGAGTGGAAGGAGGAAGCCAACTAAGAATACTCTCCTCCACTACAAGAAAACATATCAGATCCCCCACTGGAATCTGCAGTTAATCTGAGCCTTTGCTGGCACTGTCAGCAATTCTGCTATCACTCAAGAAGCTGAAGCAATTGCTGAAAGGAAAGGATCAGCCGTACTAAGATGGGAATTAACCCTTACCTTCACATTGTGCATATTTATTACGTTCCCACAATCATCTAGATACTGTTTGAGGTCTTTATCCTGAGGAAGAAAAGGATAGGATCTTATCTCTGGCACATTTAGTGTTTCAACAAGACATATTGCTAGACAATTAAATCAGAGGGTCTTAATGCTGAGTAAACACAGACTGGCAGACATAGCTTTACAGCTGGAAGAGGCACTGCATGTTGCTCTCACTCTTCCCAAGATATAATGGACCAACACAGCAATCTGAGAACCGGTAGAACCCCAAGCATTCACCTCTGCCTCAACGGTATTCCAGCCTGAATAGCCTGAACTGGAGTGAGAGAGAGATGCCCCATACTGGCTGGTTCCCATGCTGACTCAGCTTAATGAAGGCATATGCATTGAGAGGAACAAGCTTGATTGGGCCCTATGGTGATCCCCCTATAGCTTAGGAATTAGGAAAATTGAAGAATAGGAGAAGACTGATGGAAGCCAGTCCCTCGTTCAATTCTTTATTCATAGCTCCACCAGGAAGCATTAACCAGAAGGCATTACAAGCCACTTATCTTTCAGCCCCAGAAACTTCCCATGTGAAGTAGGAAAGTAACAATAGAGATCTGCAGCATACGTTTTATTTAGTACAGAAGTCAAATATATGAAGCACTTTGCATTCTTAGGAGGAGGAGTTATTGTGACATTTATTAAGCTTTTGGAACTTAATCTTTGAGAACTACCATAGGTTCCACCCAAGCTACAAAACTTGCTGCTGAACTGGCTGTTCTAAAAAGGTGGAGAGAATTCTCTTAAGAGCACTTGAAAACTACAATTCCCAGGAGTCTTCAGGAGAACATCACAATTGCCTGTAGCTTAAGCAGCATCATTTTTCAAACCAGCTTGTATATTAGGAAAGGTGGTGAAGGGTGATCTTAATTTTTTGAATCTTACTGAGAACTGGATTTTTACACATAAAGTCGTATTCCAATGTATTGCATTCCCTCCCCTCCTCCATATACTTACTAAATACTCGAAGACAAGAGTCAGGGATTTCTCTGTATGGATGATATCATGCAGGGTCACTATATTGGCATGTTTCAAATCCTTTAGAAGTGAAACTGGAAGAGAGAGAAAGAAGGATGGGGGACACGAGATCTGCATCACAAACACTTCTAACAGTCTAATGCAATCATTTCCAAACCTGTGGCTTTGAGAGAATTACTTGTGCTTATTATAAAATAAGACAATTCAATGTTCCTGTGAGCCCAAAGCATGCCAAGGAGCTATCTGTTGTGTTTCTGTAAAGTTAAGTGTTCTAGCCTAGAATTCAATTATGGGAAAATTAGAGACCAACTTTTCTCTGCGTAGAGGAGCGGAACTGCAGCCCAGCGCTGAACTGGGTATAAATGCAGAAGTGCTTTTACATGTTGGCACTTCTGTCTCTCTGCTATCATAATGTCCTTTCTTCCTCCTTCTCATGCAGATACAAATGGAGGGGGGTCCCTCTTCATAAACTGTTTTACAGGGCCACTGAGATTGGAGGAGCTTGGGCAAGAATGTCAAGATGGAAGGGGTGCGTCCATCTACTGAAGCTCGGCCAGTGCGCTTGCTGAACAGTGGGCCCACTGGATTGCTTCTCTGCTCTTTCATTTCTCCACAGGACTGCATGCCTAGGCACTTTGTCTTTTTAATAGTTTGAGAATCAGTTGTCCTGTTTAAGGCTGGTGACGTCTGCCTTAATTATGCTAGCATCTTTTGAAAATCCAGGGTCCTGCTGACAGCCTGCAAATACTTCTCTTGCACATTGGCAGGAAGACTGCAGCTTAATCCTAAATATACAAGTGCTGAAGGAAAAGTAATGCTCCGTCTCTATAGCTTTAGTTAAAATATCCCTATTCATTTATTTTATAAATGAAACAGGAAAATGATCCTTGAAATAAACTCTTTTGTTACCTGAGTTTACATAATCCCAACCATTTGCTACACATTTCTGCCAATGATGGACAAGCTTCTTAAAGAATACCCATACTTTGTCTGACAATCCTTTCCACCTTTGTGAGTCAGATGCTCACAAAGATATCCCTTTAATTTGAGGAAAGGTGGAAGCTGTATGGCACCAAGTCTTACTGTATGGCAGATGGGGGTAACACATTGAGATCCAACTTAGTAAATTGTCTCTTGGGTGGCTCTTGAAGTGTGAGGTCTAGTGCTATCTTACTGCTGCAAACTTTCCTTCTTGTGCTTTTGAACTCTCCTTAATTATGTTTCAAAGTTCTGAGTGTTGCAATGTAGCACTCTGAATTGATAATGGCGCCAGGTTCAAGAAAATGAATGGGAATACTGCCATCTCCATCCCAAAAAACCCTGGAACCATGAATTTTCCTGCCGAAGCCTGGATTTGAACTTTTTTTTCCACAGATGAAACTGTGCGATGATATTCCATGGACTGATGCTTCATTTCTGGGTCATAATGATGAGCCCATGTTTCATCAGTTATCATGATGCTGTGAAGAAATTCCTCACCTTCATTCTCACTGTGTGACAACAATTGCTAGCAAATTTCACACACACACACACATATATATATATTGTATGTATGTATGTATGTTTTAACAGCAATAATAAGAATACAAACTAAAATAGAACAGAGAAAACAAAAAAGAAGGAAATAATAGAAAAAGCTAAAAGTGCAATAAGAAAAAAAGTAGAAGTAGAAAAAAGAGAAAGATATAAAGAAAGATATATAAGTATAAAGAAATGGCTTCTGATACTCTTCACAGCAGTTATAGGTACAATTATATTTTAACCACTTTCTCTAAAGTTACGTCACGATTCTTTCTATAATCTATCCTGTCATAACATCAAAACCATAAATCGTTTCCAGTCACCAATAAATGTAGATATTGTCCTTTATCTAATCAAAGAATCAGCCTGTCCATCTCAGCAAGTTCTGTCAATTTCACCAGTCATTCCTCCATGGTGAGTAATGTCGAATCTTTCCACCTTTGTGCATATAGAATTGCTATCAAATTTCAATTCCTGAAGATTTCCTCTCTGCCATCAGCATGCAAGGAATCCATCTTGTACAAATCTTCCAATACTGAAGAACATTAATCAGGTGACCCACATGTTCCCATGAATGCCAAGCTTGACTGAAATTTCCCTTTGAGTAATCTGCCAATTGTCCTTAATCAGTTCAACTTTTCTGATGTGAAACTTGGTTGGTTGTTGTCACAGGTCTGCTTTGTTCTTGATCACACAAATCAGCATTTCCCAGTTCACTAGCTTTACATTCTTTAGCCCAGCAACACACAATATTCATGTCAATGCATTCATCACCATAAACAACCTGCATTCAGCAGTGAATTTCATTTGCAGGGACTCCTTTAGCAGTCAAAAGAATAATTACAGCATATTGTTTAACGTGCATTGTCAAGTACTCACTGCAGGCTTCCATTTCATGAACAATAGCAACCCAACCTTTCCTCACAGCAACTTCCCACCAATTGAAGTGAAGGAACAGACACATCAAAACTTCTAGTACATCAGTACTGCCATCAGCTGGCAAGTCATAACACTCATCACTTTTCATTCAGCCCTTGTAGTTCGTAGATGGAAGGATGAAAATGTCACTTGTAGATCTCTCTCTATCTGCACATCTGACTCATCCAGAGCTTCACTGCCTAGAGTGAATTCCACTGCACTTTTTACTCTGAAATTTTTATTACAATCTCAGCGCCCATCTACAGTAGCCTTCCCCAATTTAATGCTCTCTATATGTATTGATCTCTAATGCCCAGAAATCCACGCCAGCATGACCATATCTGAAGAATACAGGATTAGGAAAGCCTGAACTAAGCGTGTAGTAAAGGACTCCTCTGTGTACAGTTATGGCTGTTTGGCTCATATAACCGCTATACTGTTCTTGGCTTTCAGAGTCTATAGATTCTTGTAACCTGCTATTACTTTATAGATGCATGGAGTTCTCAAGGCAGCTTACAAGCGATGCAATTCCATATCAAGCAAACTGAAACATGATTTCAAAACACGGTTCTTTTCTTTCAAATATCTAACAGCAGCAAATACCTTCCCACAATTTCCATTAACAGACAGAGAGTACAAGAGTGCTTTCAAAGCCCTGGAAAAAGGGGCTACAGGTAGTCCTATACCTTCCCGAATAGCTGTGCAAGGGGCGCCCTCTTCATGTTCCAGACGGATCTCCTTCAAGGCCACCAGGTTGTCAGTGAGTTTACTCTTTCCCTTGTAGACAGTGGCATAAGTTCCCTGATGTAGAAGAGGCACAATTTAAGCTAATAGCCCAACATCCTGTCAACTTTCCTCCCTATCCAACTTCCCTACATGCACTAGATCATCCCTCAGTTCTCTTTTAGTCATATTCCAGCCCAGAGAAAGCATTTCACCCCAAGCCTGGGATACAAAACCGCAGCTTCATCCTGAGAATTCTTTCAATGTGAGCCTTCTTTCATTGTCTCTCACTCCCTTTTCTCATCCACATCACACCCTGATGCTCCTTCTCCTAAAAATTCCTATCTTCCCAGGCCTAAACTTCCCTAAAATAGAAAAACTATGTCTGAAGTTGTATCGATCAGACAAATTTGTCATCTCAATGAGAACAATCTTTTCTTTATCTACTGTTCACCAAATTTCTTTGCTACCATTTCACTAAGGGCAATAACATTTATACTCTTGGCAGCCACAGTGGTAACTAAGCCCAATTTGCAGCAAGTATGTGAGTACAATACTTGGGCCTCCAAGCCCTTCCCGAGCTTGTTTGGAAAACAGTAAATTACACATGGCACTAGGTGCATATACTAGCAGAAAGATACCTATAACCAGTCTGGTTTTATTAGGGCAGGAGATTCTCTGACCTGGAGTAGATGGGAATATTTTGTTCCTGACTTTATAAACTTTAGTGTAGTTAATGCTTTTCTTATTTATCCTAAAGTGGGTCATTAATAAGCCATTAGACAGACACTCAGTTAAAGTTGAAATGGGGTAAAACTGGAGCCCTGGATATTAGCTGGGAAATACAGGATTCCAAATGTATTCTAAGGGAAGGGAAGGGAAGGGAAGGGAAGGGAAGGGAAGGGAAGGGAAGGTTCTCTATTCAAGGACTTCCAAATACAGGGCTCTGACTACGTTGACTCTCCTAGGCAAATCAAGCTCTGAAGGTGGCTACCAAGATGGAACTAGAAATGGTATTAGAATAAACGATCAAATAGATTAAATAGGCCGAACAATTTGCTCATGGACTATACCAGCATGATGAAAATAATAGTTCAGCTAGAAGCCGTATCCAAAATCAGAGCATGGAAGAGTATTGAAGCCTGGGAGGTGGGCCTTCATCCCAGAGTAAATGTTTAAAAAATTTGTCCTGTCTATTAGAGAGGGTGAGAGCACAACCCACTGTGAAATTCTGTTCTCCACCATTAAAAAGCCAGCAAGATCCAAGACTAAACGTGAGGATAAAAAGATGGGAGCTGAAGCCACCCTGAGCCCTGATAGACTAAACCTCAGTGTGTGTTTAAAATAAAATAACCCTGAGAACCACCATTTTTCAAGTGATCTAAAATCGAGCCCTGAGTTCTTACTTTTGGCCAGGCTGAAAAAGGCCAGTTCACAACACTCACCTCTCCCAATTTGTCCAACTTCACATATGTCTCCAGCTTCCCAAAGCCAATCTCCGACTAAATGAAAAAGGACCAAGGAACAAAGTGTGATGGATCTGCTCTTTTCAGTCTGGGGTGCTTAGGGAGCCAGCAAGGGCAGCAGTTGCTGGCCTGCAGTACTTAGCACCGTTCCAGCTCCAGTGAAGGGGGAACACCCAGAAGCAGAAGGGAGAGAGGGACGTTCCTATTTACCAAAGAGACTCTGCGTAACCGCCTGCTCAATGGCTTGTCAAAGAGAGGACTGTTGAGGGTCAGTTTCTCCAGGTAGCCTTCAGGCAGACGGATGTCAGCGGGGAGTGACAGGCGCTTGTTAATGTCCTGGGAAGCAAGGAAAAATGGGTCAGCTTTTTTCTTAAATCCTCCAAAAGTTAGAAGCCTGGATGGATGGATGGATGGATGGATGGATGGATGGATGGATGGATGGATGGATGGACGGATGGACGGACGGACGGACAGACAATAAAAGAAAATGTGCAGGCTAAAGTACAGCAGACTGATTGGAGAAGAGTCTGCAGTTTCTCCTGCACCAGTCTGATACAAAAAACAAAGTCTCTTCTTTAACCAGTATGGAATCTAAGCAAGCTCACGAAAAAAGGATGGGGACTCTCTTTTTCTTTCTTCTTCCCATTATTCACCAGTGTGGAATTTGTAGACACCACTGATGATCAGGCATACTTAAATACAAGACTGAATTTACTACAACTATTGAGGGATAAAGCTTGTAAACTAGAATGGGCAACCCATGCTTCTAGTGCAATGTTTCCCAACCTTGGGAACTTTAAGAACTTTAAGCATGCTGGCTGGGAAATTGTGGAAGTTGACGTCCACACATCTTAAAATTCCAAGGCTGAGAAACACTACTGTAGTATAAGAGCTCGCAGTCCAATTGAGAAGGATCAAGCAACCTCTGTGAAAACCACCCACACTGCTGCAGCCTCCCCCTTTATCAGAGAAGAGACCCACTTTCTCTCCAGGCCACTGTGAAGCGACAACTCAAGAGAGTCCACCTCCTAAGGTACACATTGGTTCTAAACTGAAAATACAGGTGTTCCTTGGGTTATGACCACTCATTCAGTGACTGTTCAAACTTAAGATGGGGCTGAACAAGTGGCCGTTACGACCAGTCCTTGGAGTTCCAACCATCGCAGCATCCCTGCAATTGCGATCCAGGTGTTCAGCAACTGGCTTGCAATTACGATGTTGCAGCAAGCCACAGTCACATGATCGTAACTTCCGACATTTCCTGCCTGCTTCCCACAAGCAAAGTCAATGGGGAAGCTAGCAGGAAGTCACAGTCACGTGAGATCCTTGCTTAATGACCAGCCCAATCCTTGGTTAATGACAGCAAGTGGGACTGCTGGTACTGCCATCACTAAACGAAGTGGTCACCTGTTGCGCTTTACGACCGCACCACTTAG